GATGCGGTCATTTTTATTTTGTTTGCCGGCCTGGCAATGGCAAGCACGTGCCGCTGGACTGTTCTTGTTTTTTTGTTTTTGTTTTCATATGCTCGACAGTTACATTTTGCATGCAGTTTTGGGGATCAGTTAGCGACGGAGCGAAGTGGCACAATTTCGGTTTCGATCAAACAGCCGTTGTCTCCGCTCGCGCGACAAAGCACACGAAACTGCAAGCCTGCTGAAGTTGCCCTCACGTGCATGTGAACGTGATTGCACAACAGAGGCACCAGTTGGGCCGCTTGCAATCTATTGTTTTACGTTTGCTTACTTTTGAAGAAAATCTGGCACGTCGGGAAGCAGTAAAACTGTGGCAAGCGGTTTTTCGTAATTACTCGGCAATGCCGACATCACCGTACACTTGTGGGATGTCTCAGCAGTAAAAACACAAGCAACGAGTTCCGTCACAACACGTCATATCAGAACACAACACAACACAAAGTGTCCTTCGTTCGTACAGCACTTAAACCAAATTTTTTTTTTTTTAATTTTTTAAAGAATATTTGTTTTAAAAACCACATTTGCTGCTCTGAAACACTATCTTGGCTGCTCCCAAAGCCACTTTTGCTGCTCCAAAACACTAGTTTTGGTTGCTCCAAAGGCGGCATTTGCTGCTCCAAAACACTGTTTTGGCTGCTCCGAAAGGTGCTCCAAAATGGCTTAGGCCAATCGCATCACTGTTATTGCCAAAAAGTAGGGTTTTGATGAGGAGAAAATGCCCCATTATGTGGAATGCTTTTCAAATTGACATTTTGCATAGAAAAAACACGGATTTTAAGGTAAAGAATAGATAGCCCCCCACCGTATGTTCTAGTTAAGGCTGGAGCTTAAAAATGCTCAATATTCTCCAGCAATTTTATACGATAGACTTCCCTGCCAAGGGAGGAGACTTGCATCAATAGCTGTGTACTTCCCCCTGTAGCCTATCGGAAAATAGCCCTACAGAGATGAAATTTCATGCAGTGCATTTAGGCAACGAGATGAATAGACCTTCCAAATTCCATCAATATTGAGCAACTGGTTTAAAAGTCGACACTTGAAGGTGGTGTCACCCCTTGACAATAGTTTTGACCGGCAGGTAGAACGCCTGACACCGGCAAGTTTCCCAACATCGGTTTTATTGAGCATTGCGGAAGCCTTGTTAAGCAAGCTAAAGGGAGCACCTCGTCCCTAGAGAGAAAGGTCAGCAAAAGACCGCTTCTCATTTCGTACACAGATTTAGCGTGGGACCTGAATTGGTTGCATAGGACGTGACGTCAATTTCCCCTGCTAAAATTAGCCGGGAATCTAAATTGGTGCATGGGTCATGTGACGTGAATTTTCCCGCCAAATTTAGCGGGGAACCAGAATTAGTGCATAGGACGTGACGTAAATTTTCCCACCAAAGTTAGAGGGGAAACTGAATTAGTGCACAGCCATGTGACATAAATTTTCTGCTAAATTTAGCGGGGAAACTGAATTGGTGCATAGTCATGTGACAAATATTCTGCTAAATTTAGTGGGGAAATTGAATTGGTGCATAGGACATGTGACTAATTTTCTGTTAAACTTAGCAGGGAAACTGAATTGGTGCATTGCCACGCGACATTAATTTCCCACTAAATTTAGTGGGGAAACTGAATCAGTGCATAGGCCATATGACATAAATTTTTCACTAAATTTTACTGGGAAACTGAATTGGTGCATAGTTCACACAACGTAAATTTTTCGCTAAAATTAGTGAGGAACTGAATTGGTGCCTGGGTCACGTGACATCAATTTTCCACTAAATTTAGTGGAGAAGAATATTCGAGGCCAGAATATACACAGCTGAAAATTTTGAGTAGTAGCTTAAAATAATGCTATCGTATTAAAACAAAATCAGCGACACAGAACACACCACGGGGTTGTCAATCAACATGAGTCTAAAGATGCAATCTTTTTGCTGCATAAATTCAGCGATGTCTGGCTGATGCATTTCATACCTTCTTTTTTAGAGGCAAAGCTCCTTAGGGTGTAGCCTTGTCCGGCGTCCGTGCTCACATCGATTACCATCCCATCCGTCTTCTTAAAAAAAGAAAAAATGTTTGCGCAGTCGACAGGATTCAAACCTCTGCGGGGAGACCCCAATGGATTTCTAGTCCACCGCCTTAACCACTCGGCCACGACTGCGGGATGGAGGTTGGAGCACTTTGAACGCATTTTTCTCCATTCCACTTTCTGCCATAAGTTTCACTTTAGGGAAACTATTGTTTGGTGGGACGGAGGGAAAGGCTCATTCATTGTTTTTTCATAACTGGATTTTTATGGGCAATGCAACTGCAGAATTGTTTTTTTGACTTTGTGGTTACCTTTTATAGAAGATGTTAAGATTTTGTCGACGGCATAAAAGGCAAAAAATCTATTTGGTTTTTCACCGTGATGCATAAACTAAATTACTTTTTGGTAGTTTTGTTTTCACACTTGTACTCTCCAGGCATTCTGCTGCAGATCTAGTGAAGAAACACGTTGGGTATTACATTAGTTTTCTAGAGATAGTTTTCCTAAACAAAGTCAGTGTGTTTCTGATAAAAATGACTATAATTTGTTTTACAATTCATGTTACAGATGAAACTTTGCACTGCATTCTGCCTCACAACCATACCTCGGCAAACCTCACTCATGAGGGCCCTCACTCACCCTCATCTTCACAGGTGAGGTGAGGGTGAGTGAGTTTATGAACCAGGAAAATTCATGAGTGTGAGGGTGAGCGAGGGCCATGAGGGCCGTGAGGGCCGTGAGGGCCGTGAGGGCGGTGAGGGCCGTGAGGGCGGTGAGGGCCATGAGGGCGGTGAGGGCGGTAAGGGGTATGAGGGCCATGAGTGCGTGAGGGGCGTGAGGGCGGTGAGTGGCGTGAGGGCCATGAGTGCGTGAGTGGTGTGAGGGCGGTGAGTGGCGTGAGGGGTGTGAGGGCCATGAGTGCGTGAGGGCAGTGAGTGGCGTGAGAGGCGTGAGGGCCGTGAGGGTGGTGAGCGCATGAGGTGGTGTGAGGGCCATGAGTGCGTAAGGGTGGTTCTGGTTCTGGTTCTGGTTTGAAATCAATTGTTTTTTGGAAATAAACTGTTTCAGAAAGGTGCATTAGTATTCTTTACGAGATTTAAATGCATAAAAACACGTTTATAACGCGTAATTATGTCTAAATAGTGCAAGAAAAATAAAATTTTATGATGACGATGGCAAATTGCAGCAATTGGTTGCTGCGTGCGATCGCGGGCGGCCCGTGTTGCTGGTGTTGCGACGTAAAGTTTCTGGGCGAAATTGTCCCATCTGAAGCTGGCCTGAGTGGCGTGACGGCCATCAGTGCGTGAGGGGCGTGAGGGCCACAAGGGCGGTGAGTGGCGTGAGGGCGGTGAGTGGTGTGAGGGCGGTGAGTGGCGTGAGGGCCGTGAGGGCGGTGAGGGCGGTGAGTGGCGTGAGGGCGGTGAGTGGCGTGAGGGCAGTGAGTGGCGTGAGGGCCGTGAGGGCGGCGAGGGGCGTGAGGGCCGTGAGGGGCGTGAGGGCGGTGAGGTTCGTGAGGGCCGTGAGGGCGGTGAGGGGCGTGAGGGCCGTGAGGGCCGTGAAGGCGGTGAGTGCCTGAGGGCTGTAAGGTTCAGTGAGGGTGAGTGAGGGGCTGAAGGTGAGTGTGTCTGTGAGGGCGAGGGTGAGCGAGGGCTGAAGGTGAGTGTAGCTGTGAGGGTGAGGGTGAGTGAGGGGCTTAGGTGAATGTGGCATTGAGGGTGAGGGTGAGTGAGGGCGACCTAAAATGCCGACCTCTGCTCACAACTGCTAGCATATACTGTAAATTTCATTCATAAAAGCCGAAGGCTCGAACGTTGACCCTTTTGGGTAGTGTCCCCCCTTAGGTAAAGTGTCTTTCCTGCTGCAGGACCGCTTTAATTGATGTCAGGCTTTTCTATAACACATAACTATTAGTGTTGTGCGAATATTCAAATTTTCGAATAGTAGTTTCGAATAGTCGCTATTCGATATTCGCTCCGAGGGCAGTTGTAATATTCGTGCTTTTCGAGGTGTTCGCAAACTCGCGGTCGCAAGTATGTTTACTGTCTAAAGACCAGAAAAAAACGATACCTAAAATCAAGAATATACTGACACATTCGGCAAAATGGTACAACTATTATGGTGGGAACTTTGAAATATACTCATTGTAATTATTTCATCAATTTTTTAATAACGGGCAAAAGAAACTGAGCAACGAACTCCAGAGACGCCGGCGCCATCTTCGCCAATCTTGGGGCCCTGGTTGCCAGCACTTTTTTCTCCCCACCGCCACGTCCAGATATAAGTTTAGAAAAACAAGTTTAGGATAAAAATAAATACCCTTAGAAATTTCTCATAACATGCATAATTGCTCAGAAACTTTTATTTCCGATAAAACTCTTAAACACGGTTTCAAAACATTTAAATTATTGTATTTCGAAGGAATATTATATTATTACAGCGACAAGGTGAGTGGATGACATCGACATTGTCAAAATGACGAAAGCTAAGTCGGTTGGCAAGATGGACTAACGACAGCGTGAGAGGTCGAGTTTGGAAGTATTTCTGTAAACTTCTTTCTAAAAACGGTCAAGTTTTTTGAATGGCAAGTATTCGATATTCGATTAGAAAATATTCGACCAAATCACTATTCACTTCGAATTCTATTCGAACTCAAAATCCACTATTTGCACAACCCTAATAACTATGTTATAGTAGATGTATGTGTATTATTCTTTAAAGGTTTTTGGCCCTCTGTACTGCTTTATTGCCTTAATTCCCGACACAGGAAAGGTTCCTTGCTTATCAACTAAGGGGGACTGGTGTTTTCCGAAAAAAAAAAAAGTTTGAGATCCTCTGGGTTACCCAATGTAAGAAAATAGTTTTATGGTTCCTTCTTATTGTATTGTAGAGGTTGTCGGTCGTCTGGGACTTGTGGGTGCCACAGTTGCCCCGTCTGTTTGCAGATTGTGCCCAAGAATGGGACCATGGTGGGCGGCATCCTGCGGGACATGAGCCAGCAGCTGCGGCCAGAGCCAGCCATGGCGGGCATCACGCCCATCCGCATGCTGGCCGAGATGGGACTCCAGAAGCTGCACAGGGACTACCTCAACATCTTCGTCGGTGAGGGGCCGTCGGGAATCGGGACATCTGGTACTGTATGTAGTAAAATAGCACTTGAACAATGTTCAAGGGACCTCAAGAAAAGGTTGGCTGAGGGGGAGGCATGGGCCTAAAGTGTGTCTTCTTTACGCATGGCCTAAAGAGGACACCTTGCGTGGATTTCGGTTTCAGCGTTTGAAGTTGTCTTTCGTCACAGCAGAATTGGAAAACCCTTCTCTCTCCTTATGGTGCGAGGAAAGAGAAGTCGTGTGTTACGTCGATGGGCGGCACTGCTTAACGCCGAAACAGGTGCCTAAGAGCTGCGCTCTAAAGAGAAGAAACACTCTTTCCAAGGAGTGGTTCCGCTCCGCGCTAGGCCTTACCAATGGGAAGCGGCATGCATTGAAAATGGCAAACGCACAGGTCCGCTTGTGCCTCTGCCCAGTGTGCACGGCCGTCGACACATCGAAAATAATTTATTCCTGACTAAATACTCTGCGTATGAAGGTAAAGCTTTGTGAGAACATTCCTAATGGGTTATAGAAGATGCAAATAATCTTTAAAAAAAAGTTTTTTGCTGGAGAATCTTGTAGATGTTTTTTCATGGTATTTTACTGTATGTCGGACACAATGGAAATTAAACAGTGCTCAAGGATGGGGATTGAGGAAAGAAAGATACAAGGACAAGCGGGTAATCTTTGACTTTAGGGGGTAGCTGGGAAAGTAGAGTGCCGTCAGCCCTCGACGACAGCTAGCTGTTGGGAAGGAACACTGGAAACCCAAGCTGGGCCCGATTCTGATTCAGCAGCGAGCTGGGCCAGATTCAGGAGGGAAAGTCGGGATTCCAGCTCTGTTGGGCAAGTTACTTTCGAATGCAATTAGAGTATTTTATAAGTCAAATCACATTCAAGTACAAATTCAATATTTTATATCTAATTCAAATTTGAATACACATTTAATCTTTTAATATTCAATCTTATTAAAATTGAATGTGTTAATATTCAATTTCTATTCGAACACAAATTAAATATTTAGCTGATTGGTAATTCGCAATTAAACAAGGTTTGTGGTTTAACCGCCGGTGACCAGCTGATAGAAATTTCCGTGGTCTCAGGTTCAGGCACTGGCAATGCCTTTGACGGTTCATCAGTTGTGCCATCGCTTCTGCGACCCGTTTCCAGAGCTGCTACCGTCCGAGCGATTCCCTCCGGTGTTTTTAAGACATGCCTTGTTGCCTTTTTGTGGACATTCCAATAAAGAACGGTAAACCCATCGGTCGGAAGTGCCCTCCAATCACCGAAGAAGTGGCGGCGTGCCATTCAACGGGCACGGGCGGTTGCGCGCAGGTCTGGAGCTGGCCAGCCAAGACCAGCTGTTGCCCTTCTTCTTGGGTCCCGGGGACCTTGCAGTGGCAGTGGCCGAGCTGATGAAGCTGCAGGGGGTTCTGGACATGGTGATGCTGTGCAAGACCTACCTGCACCTCCCCATACACTACCTCAGTGGATATGCCAGGTACGGGGGCAGTGCACCCACACACGTCCGTTGGGACAACGTTGCCGCCAGGTTTCAACCGTTGGTAACGTAGACCGATTCCACGGGCTGCTTTGCTAATCCGCCACCGCCGCCGTCACCGATAGTTTGAGAACAGCGGGGCGTCTCTTCCTGACTCCCGACCTCCAGCACGTGCTCGTTGCCTTTTGCCATACTTTTATTGTGCAAGCGTTATCGAAGGTGAGAAAATTGTGCCGGACATGGGACAAAGGAGGGACTGCTTCTGAGTCCTCATCCTGTCGGTGACCATAAGGACGGTGATTTTGACAAAAAACAATAAAGCCTCGGTGAACTTTCCTGTAGGTTGGTTTTTTGTGTGAGGGGATCCCACAGAGAATTAATGTTTAAGCCCTTGGAACAGCCGGTGGAGTGCTTGTTTTAGTCCTTTTTGGAGATCTAAAAATAACACTAGTAAAATGATGGTGCACATATTACTCTTTGTAAAAAATGATGATGGGGACAATGACAACCCGGGGATGCTGAGGGCTTGATCGGACTGGCTCGTTTAAGGAAGCCCAGCTTGAGTTGATGAAAGTGAAAGACGTTCCCCTGAGGCACCATCTCTAGCCTCGACATAATAAGGCTTTTTTTTTGTGGAATGCTGTACATTGCCAATTCTGAGCGGCTTGATTTTTGAAGCCTAGATTGCAGCCTACAGCAACACACCCTTTTTGCTTGGGCTTCCATACCTACCTATTTTTTGCCCGCTAGGTGGTCGTGACACACTTTTCTTGACTGTGCCTCTTTCTTGCTCTTCTGTTTTTTTCTGACAGAGAAGCGCTAAAGTATTTTAGCGACGCTGAGAGGGGAAATTACATTCACAAGTTCAAGTTCCCGGTTAAGGTGCCTGTGGTCAGGGTGGTTCTGGAAAAGTGAGTGTTTTTTACCAAGCTGTTTCGACTCTTTCACCCCCAATTTTGGAAGGCTATGAAATGATTGCGGCATCAAAGGGAACTAGAAAAGCGACGCGACTATTTACGGTGTGTCTGTGGCAAATGCAGGACTCCTAGCTGTTTATAGTCATGTAACGACAGTTGACTTTGGTGTACAAAATCTGCCCTGCAGCTTTGTCTCTCGTTGATTTATCTTTTTCGCTTTGCCTCTATGTGCATGGCAGAAAAGTCTTATGTGTTGGGTGATTCTCAAACTACAAAACGAAGGACGCGGACATCCGTCCGATTGTTTTGTTGTTTACAAACAATGTATTCATGATGTTGCTGTTTTTGAACTCATGTCCAGAGAGAAAAAAAGAGGAAGGAAAACTTAATGGCTCATAAATGAAGGAAAAGTAACTTGCTTCGAAACAAACTTGTTGAGGCTGGTAACCGGGTAGAGAATGAACCGTGGTGCTTTCTTGATCGCTGGAGCCGGTTCTCCTTAAGTCCCGACTGCTCTGGTCGTCTGAGGGTGACGAGTGGAAGGCTTTTCCTTGAGCTCGAGGTTCGCTAGTGTTCTCAAAATCCAAGGCTTGCCTTCCCCTTCCTTTTTCCGCAAGCCCTTCCTCTTCCTCCTCTTCTTCGCTTCCCTTCTGTAGCTCTTTAAGTGATTTTTTTTCTTCTTTGCGTCGATTTTCGTCGCTTTCCGTCTAAATCGTTACAGCATGCTTAGGAAAAGAGCTCGTGGATTGTCGTTGCTGACTTCTTTTAGACACATGCCTTCTACAACAACTGTTCACAGTGCTGCCACTTTACTTTGAGAGGAATGCATTGGCTTGACCGATGTGCAACGAGAGTTTCAGTTACGTCTGGCTCTTAGAGCTAGAAATTGTGCCTCTTTAATTTTTACATTCTTACATATCACTTTTTGGTATCTAAACAGTTACAACATGTAGCATTGAGCATGGGATTTTTGTGATTTAGCATATTGTCCGTGCATTTGAATCATTTGCCATGTACTACCACCGTAAAATACCAAGCATTCGCCCATTCCACAATAAGTTCCCGCCCTCTAATTTTGTAGCATTCGGAAGAAACACAAAGGATATACAGAAGTTCCTCGTTATAACGAAGTCAACGGGCTGGCAAGAAAATTTGATACAACTGGAAGTTCGATAAAAGCGAGGAGCCAAATGAACCGTGCCAGCAGCCTTGAAGCTGGACAGGAACACTGCGGAACACTCTGACTGCATATTTAATTAAACAAACCCTTGTTGTGAACATCTTACTGCAGCTTTACCGAGTGAAAAAATAATTAAGTGGAGTTTGCAGATAGTTTAATCCGGACATCAGTTCTCCTCAAACTGCTTCAGTCATCGCAAGAATAGTGTCACCGCCGCTGCACTCCACATTGTTTCGAAACAGCCGTAGGATTTTTCGCATCTCCGCAGTCGTCGGCGTTTCCCTAGGTGCCTTTCCAACGTCACTTTGTGTTTACCCTGGCTGCACGCAAGGTATACGATTGCAGCGTCCATGGAAGCAACAACTGGAATGTCCACATCAACAGGCACAAACGAATCAAAGTTGTCCTCTGTGGCTCTGCCAACATGTTTTCACACACTTCTGCAGAGATCGTTGCAGCTATGGAAATAGTGCGCTGGCTTGGCAAGCATGCTCGGGAGAGAAAATCTGATGTGCGCGAAGCAGTTGGGAATCTTTCACCTTCTCGTCGCGGGCACGCTTTCTACTGCATGAGAAAGTTCTCGAACCTGTCCAGTATGCCTTGCTTGTTTTGCGTAATGGTGGACAGTGTCAAACAGCCGATGCCAAAATGTCGAATTACCGTATTTACTCGCACAATGAACGCACTCGCGTAATGAACGCACCCCCCAAGTCGGCTCTCAAAATTTCGACTTTTTTTTTCCCTCGCGTAATAAACGCACCCCCAACTAGGACGTCAAAATTTTGACCCCCTCCCCCCACCCGCGCGAAATGAACGCACTTTTCTATCCTGGTGCAGCGAGGTCGCGAATGCATGGGCAGCGTGGGCGAAAAACACGCCTTACCAAACGCGTTAAAAAAAGTCGCAAAGATCCAACGGAAGCAAAAAAAAAAAACAAAGAAAAGCTTCTTTTTTTTTTTTTTTTTTTGCACAGCTTAGTTTGGACTTTGGGTTCGCGCGCCGCCGCGCGCAAGGAGAAGCGGAGCAGCGCTCTAAGCGAACAAAACAGCTTGCGAAAGGCGGCAAAAAGAAGAAAAAAAAAAACACACGGAACTAAGCGAAAACAAAAACAAAAAGGAACTTTTTTTTTATTATTATTATTTTTTTTTTTTCACAACGCAGTTTGGTTACGGGGGATCGCGCGCCGCGCGCAAGGAGGTAATAGGGAGTTTTCGTAGACCGCGCTACCCCCTCCGCTAAGCGTTCCGCAACGAAGAAGTCGCTACTGCGCCTGCGCGCCGATAGCCTTGACTGTGGAGTTCCCGCTATCGTAGCGGATTGCGGAGGGCCTTGCGGGACGGCGAAAACGATCTACGAAAACTCCCTAATAAAGAGGAGCGGAGAAGCCCTCTAAGCAAACGAAACAGCTTGCGAAAGGCGGCAAAAAAAAAAGAAAAAAAAACGCACGGAGCTGAGAAAAAAAAGAGCTTTTTTTTCTTTTTTGCACAGCGCAGTTTGGTTACGGGGGGGGTCGTGCATCGCGCGCCGCGCGCAAGGAGATAAGGAAGAGAAGCGGAGAGCCAACGCCTAAGCAAACAAAACAGCTTGCAAAAGGCGGCAAAAAAAACAACAAAAAAAAAAACGAAAAAACTAAAAAAAGAGAAGTTTTTTTTTTTTTTTTTTTTTTGCACTGCTTAGTTTGGTTACGGCATGGAGAATAGAAGGGTAGGAGAGGGCATGACGTCGGCCGCGTAGCCTCCGCAAGCCAGGCTCCCTTGACGCCTCGCCTTTCTCATTTTCCTCCTTACTCTCCTCACTTACCTTGCCAACGTGACCACATCACGTGACCGTAGCTCGCCTTCGTCTTGCTATGGGGTACTAGAATACACCACAGTCTAGACTTCGATCTGATAAAACCTACCGGACGGAGCGCGCGCAAGCCTGCAAGGAGTCCTTCTACAATCAACCATCCATCTCACACGTGACATGTCACGCGCACCAATCGCCAGAGAGATCTGCGGTCACGCTGGGCACAAAATCGTTTAAACTTTTTATGACTAGGCTTCACCAATATTGCAACGTGCCCCCTCCTAGTACTTCTAACCTCCTTGGGTTACGGGGTCGGGCGCCGCTCCGCGCGCAAAGAGATAAGAAGTTACTTTGATTTTTCAGGATAAAAGGTCGGTTCATTATGCGAGTGAATACGGACGCAAAAATTTTACTTCGCGTAATGAACGCTCCCCCCAACTTTGCACCGATTTTTCGGAAAAAAAAGTGCGTTCATTCTGCGAGTAAATACGGTATTTGGCGATTTTGGACTGGATCTAAGTAACTTTCGGTAAACACTCAATCTCCCATACGACGCACATGTACGCGTAGCACGTCGCAGGTGCGTCCGGGTAGGCACACGTGGGGGGCTCCCGAACGAATGATCTCCTCTGGGCTCCATCACTCTCTTGTCCTGACTCCGACAGGAGTTGGGCAGCCAAGGCCATGGGCGCCGTGAGTAGCATTGGAATGTTGACGCTGCTCCCTGTCAGTGTCCCGGCATCTGTGCATCGGCATCGGAAGCGGCGCTCCACCAGCTCTGTGCACTCTGCCCTCCGTCATCTGTTTACTCCGTTTTCCCAGTTTGCAATTTGCCTTGGTGGAGAAGGGGGAGGGAACGCAAGGGTTTTCGTGCGCCTCCGTGTAGGCTTGTGTGCTTTTGGCACTGCGGCCGCCTTCATAATAAGCGGGGTCGGCCGCCGATACACTTTAAATGATCCGGTTAAAGATGCGTGCATTTCGGTCGAGACCACATTGAACTTCGATAAAAGCGATAATTCGAAAAAAGCGATTTCGTTATAACAAGGGATTACTGTAGCTGAACCGATTGTTGACATGACGAGGGCCCTTCTTCCAGTTTTACATGATTGTCCCCAAACTCTGAGCGGGCGCTTGCTTGGAGTTTTACCGTGTGTGTTGCAAAACCAAATTCTTCCGAAGTAATTTTATTTACTTAATTTTAGTGCCCAAAAGTCCTCTTGAAAGAGCTACATACATTATGAGACAAAAGCGTGGCAACAAGGATGAAAGCAGATACTATAGGTAACTAAAGCTTAGGCAAAAAGAAAACAATTGGATTCTGAAATAAACACTACTAGTTAGGTTCTTACTATAACAGTGCACAACAAGGTTATTGAGCACATTGAAGCGAGTTAAGGCAAACAAAGCCACATCCCATACTGTACTATACTCTGTGGGTGCTTGATATGTCCTTTGCTTAGTCATCAAACATTTCAGAAGTAGTGGGTGGGCGTTTATTGTAGGCTGTAGCATTTGCTTAGCGTCTCTACAAGTCAGCTTAAAGAGCGAACAGAATGCCAATTCAAGGGGGTGGTTCCTCCCCCCTCGGCAGCGTGTCTCCCGTGGAGTGGACAGCGTCCATGAAGAGCCGCCAAGGGAATTATGCCGCCCACACCATCACCCACATCAGCACCACGTCCCCCTTCGACCACCTGGTGGCCGAGAAGAGCTGCGGTGAGTGCCCTTGTGCCGGTTGGCCCTAGAGGAGTCGTGGCACAAATGCCAAACCCTTCGGTCTATTTCTGAGACGGAATCTTCGAGGGTCATTAAATGCGACGGCATTTCTCAGGCCACCAAACTGTGAACCTGCGTGCATCCGTTTGTCGCAGCTCGATAGCCAGGCTCGAAGGATCCCAAATGCCATCTCATTGCCTCTCCTCTGGCAGCAGCTAGGGAGATGGCATAGTTTTTTTTTTGCATAAATTCACTAAGTTGTACAATTTGTAAAGCTCAAGTAGTTATAAAAGTGAATATTTATGTTTGTTTTTTGCATTTGCTGGCCAGGCAGCCCCGATGTAATCTGCCAGTGGTGACGTACGCTTTGGCCATTCAAATCCTAAATCGGACAGTTGAGAACACTTGTTTTAGTCTCCTTGCCCATGGTGACCATGACACACTTGCACGCTACTCTCACACCCTTTCTGTCCCTGCCGACATTCTCCCCGAAACAAAACGATTCCGACGAAACGAGCGGTGCCGGATGCGGTTGGACCCACTCATAACGGGACCGGAAATAGCCAAATATTAATTTTTTAACAATCTAACATTTGTTGCATGCTCTTGCTGGTATACTTTTCAATGCAATTTCTGCCCACTTTTAATGAATGCGCTTAAAGCGACTTCAGAAACCAGTGTGCCACATTTTATCAAATAACAGGACCTTGTGTCCTGGTGCGATAAGACATCTTCTACTTTTGATCGATTTCATTATTAATGTAGTCACTTCTTTATTTTCCAACAAAAGAAAACAATGTTGGTTGAGACAAGGGGGAAAAAAATTCGTCATCAGGTCAGTCGCGTCCCTCCATGCCATGGCACTCGTGCTGCTCCGTTTGTGTCAAGCTTCGTAGCTTTGTACTTGCAGGCTCACACGAAATTTCGCCGCATCATACTTGTGCTGGCATTGAGCTTCACCACTTCGCACCGCCCTGCCAGGCAGGGTGGTTCATGTGGGCCAGCGTCTGGCTAACTCAGTAGGACTAGAAAGTTTCATAATGGTTAAAAAGCACAACAGGACGACACACAGAAAGGAAGACACAGCGCTGTGTCTTTCTTTCTGTCCATCGTCCTGTTGTGCTTTTTAACCATTGTGAATCACCAACTCGCCCAACACTCCACCCTGGAAAGTTTGCTTGCTCTTATAAAAACATTGTTGGGTTACGGATGTAGGTAGACCCTTAATTCTAAAGAGCAGCACCAAAAGAAAGCATAGATGTACATTTAAATAAATATGGTGATCAATTATACGGTCGTGAAAGCCCACTCGAAATAAAATGTTGCACGAGAGTTGCCACTTGCCTCGTCTGTGGTCCCCAAGAGCGTTGCCGGTCCTTACGTCTTTCTGGATCATTCTTTTCATTTTTTTACTGCGGTCTCCTAGAATATGTATCAATAAGGCTGTACCTACATTGGCCATGGGAAAATCCTTAAACGGTCCACCATTGAGAACAACCTAATGAAAACTGCACTTTTGCTTTTCTCCAACAGAGTGACATGTATTTGCTGGTGTCATGCAATAGATGCCATTGGTACCATATGGCTCCAGCAACACAAGCGTTGAGCTGCAATGTAGCCTTCCATAACAGACATTAGTGAGCAACACATCTGCTTTCGAAAAAGTTCATGGTCATTGAGGCCTAGTAGGATTTTCAGCCTGCTTTGGGTATTGTACACAATGCAGCGCTTCGGGATGATTCAGTAAACCGTAGTATGGGGTGCATGCTTGACACGCTTTCTCCGTTGTCCCTTATAGCTAGAATTCTGTGTTTTCGAAGGTTTTCCTTTGTGGACTTCATGTGTTTTTCTGAATTTATTTTTGTTAGATTTCCAATTGAAATTTGGAGTTTCAGTTTACTCTGTTATTTTTTTTTAAGATAAAAATAAATAATGTCCGGACAAAAAATATGTTAAATTCATTAAAAAAATTCCCCTATTATATTGAAAGATATTTTTGCCACTGGACTTGACATTGGGGCCCTTGCAATTAGCAGTACAAACTGTACAACAAGAAATCTTGAAAACAAGTGTTACTTCAATAAGTGTTGGAAGTTTAAAATTTCCAAACTCTTAATGCATAAAACTTTCAGCTGCCCTCCCCATCCTATGAAATTTACAGGTTCACACCTTTCACTGTTCTAAAAACACAAGCCCTTCTAAAAAGCACAAATAATATGGTCGAAACTAGAAACCGAAGCAGTAGTTTTTGTCGTGGTTCAGAAGTATGTTGGCCCATTGTACTGAACGAAGCTTGACAAGATAAATGGAAGCTCCCTTCATCAATAGTTCAATATTAACAAAAAAAAGAAAAGAAAAAACTCAAAAGGCAGTTTTTAGGACTACTAGCTTTACGCAGTACCAAGCTTTGTTCGGAAAATACTGTCTTTTTTCACTTTTTATTTTGCCATCGTGACCTCAAAGTCCCGAATTTTCCGGACAAATACGGATTATTGAAAATTTTATCGGCAAGTGTTTTTCGGAGTTTATCGGATTCATCCAAAAAAGGTACCCCGCTAATGTGGGGGGCTCAAAAGACCTCAAGAAGTGCGTGAAAGAGAAAAAGCACTCACGGTATTGGGAATGTGAAATTAAAGTGTAAAGGAGAGGTATGCAACCTCCCACGGTCGTTTTATTTGCCAAATTTTGTTTACCTCAATTTTAGACACAGTGAGACACCCAAGAGATTCAGACTACTACTGCACCATCATCTCAAGCACTCAGGACACCCTCAGGTAGGCCTCAGGGTGGGAGACAAGAAAGACAGCCTTTCGTCCGGGGCACACAAGACTGGCACCACCGCAGACGGCTTTGTTTTTTGCTTCAGAAAAAGGTTGTCGAGACCAGCCGTGTACATAGTTTCATTTCCATACGTTTTATATGCGTGTCTTTGGCCTAGTCTAGGTTGCCTAGCGAATTTCTGTGTTGCGTAATTGTCCAGGCGATGAGATCGGTGATGCTGACCTGTTGTCGGTGTTTTGCCGTTGAGTGGGTGGTTTTCTGACCCTCGAATTTGCGATGTCATTACGTGTGCCCGTGTTCAAGAACGGCTTCTGGGGCTAGTAGAGTCGTTGGGAGTGTCGGTGCTCGGGATGCAATAAAGCGAAGACATTGAAGATTTTACCACATTTGAACAAAGAGCGTGCTTTTGTTTTGTTTTGAGGAGCTCAATTTGTGGTTGAGGAAGCACCAGATTTGGTGGTCACAATTTTAGTTTTTTTTAAGGAGCTATCAAATGTCGTCGACATTATGGTGTATATATCTTCTTGATTAAATTAATTAACTGTTGGTTAGTGTAATTTTCATTTGAGGTTCTCTCGAGGGGGTATATGTTTTTGCCTCCTCCTTTAGGTAGCTAGAGTACCTTGGTTGAATTCGATTTCACATTCCAAATGCTTGACCCTGAATCGACCTTTAGATAATTCCTTGACTGCCCTAGTGTCCTGAGCTCATTAAGCTCTAGTCAGCCAACACAACCTAATGCCTTCGGAGTCATCAGTATTCCCCCAATGCGGTAACCTTGTATGCCACTTCATTGATCTTGTCAGTTTTAAGGACAACTATATCTAGCTAGCCTAATGTACATTTGAACCTCCAGCATAACAATGTTATATCCTACAAGAAAGCATCCGTCAGTATTTTTCTTACCACCTATATTTTTAGCCTATTGTTTCACTTCTGTGCGGCAACATAAAGTTGCTCACTTGAACTGATGTAAAGTGTTGGATATGCCTGTACAGTTAAAGGTGCACTAAAGACGTTTCTTAGATTGTCTGTTCTTGGTGATAACTTATCTTACGTGCTCCAAGCATCCTAGAAATCCAAAAATAATGCTTGTGTGACGTCTATTTTCCTACTAAAAATGTGATAGAAGTTCATGCCATGCCCCTTTCTGAGCGGAAAACTCTCAAGCACAGAATCCAGCGGAGGTGCCGGCGGCGCCTATGCTGCCAGCGTTTTTGCTTGCGATTGGATGATCCTGTCCTCACGCTGCCAGCGTCTCCACTGAATTCTTTACTCCAGATTTTTCCACTCGGAAAGGGGCATGGCACGAAATTGAATCACATTTTTAGTAGGGAAATAGATGTCCCACAAGCATAATTTTTTGATATCTGGGATGCTAATATCCCGTAGAATGAGTTATCACCAAGAACAGACAATTTCAGAAACGTCTTTGGGGCACCGTTAAACCTCAATATAATGAAGGTGTACATATGACTGTTTGAAGGCTTCATTATTGTGTCAATGCAATAATTGAGGGTTAGTATGATTCTGAACTGCTACAGTGAAACCCGTTTAGAATGAACCCAGGTACAGCGAATTATTGTCTATATCAAACTCAAGGGAAACCTAAATAAAAATGCATGTAAAATGTACTTTTTATAACGAACAACATATTGGCTATATCGAACTCCCCCCCGGGAAGGGTTCCAAAAACGCGCAAACAATCCTCTTTTAGCCTGTCTCCCCCCCCCCCCCCCCCCCCCCCCCCCAAAAAAAAAGTAGGAAAGAAAATTCCAAAAGCTAAAGCCACAAACAAAATTGACAAAGAAAAGCGATTCAGGAGGGAAGAAAGCTAAAAAAACACTCGCACGCATGCACAAAAAAAAAAAAAAAGAAAACATCATCCCGATGCGGTTGCCCACGAAGAGAAGGGATTCAGAAAAGGAGATAAGCTAAAAGAACAAACTCTGCATGCGTGCAGAAAAAAAACTTTCCAGCGCTTTGTTACAAGGTGGAAGCGAAGAGGTGAGAAAGAAAGAGCTCTCGCCTTACAACGAACGCATCGTGGAAGTTTGTTGTAAATTGTTTTTGCTATATCGAACTGATTGTAGCGTTTCCGTTTGTTATGAATGGGTTTGACTGTATTATCTTCCAGATTCCCAAAATATGAAGCCCATACAGCTGTACAAGTGAAGCCGATACAACAGCAGGTGTTAGCCAATCGCTCTATGCGGACGGTGTAAAGTTCTCATTGTTTCCCCAAATACACTGAATAGTATTTCAATTTGATGTTTTAAACTAAACAGTTTTTGCACAGCAGAGACAGGAGAGAGGATTCGAGGGATAGCGTGGCAGTGCCTTCCCTGCCCTAAAAAGAAGATAAGAAAGAAGCTCGCTTTTCCTGTCGGAGGCCAGCACCACGTGTGCATGATAAGCGGAAACTTCGATCAATTGAAGCTGTTCCCGGGAACTACTTGGCATTTTGAGAAAAGGGATACATGTGTACGATAAAAGTAAAATAAAGATAGAAAGAAAAAAAAATTTCATTTGATTGAGGTTGGTTATATCGAGGTTTATCTACTAGGCATTATTATCATGGAAAGAAGAGTACAGTTTGGTTTTCTATAATGCCTGATTGTAAGTTAGGAGTCTTGGTGCTGCAAAATGTTTAATGGAAGTGGGTAGCGCATATCATGTAGCTGACCTATAACTGAACATAGTTATTTCTTCATTCAGTTTGATTATATACCTTTCCTGTGGGCCAGATGAATTAAACGAAGTGCAACAATTAGTCTTGCAAGGTGCAACACTGCAGTTTATGACAAGGGCACATTTTTGTGCTGACCAAGTGATGAACTGACTTCAGTCACAAATACTCAAAGTCTAGAATGGGAAGGTTGGTCTAAGTCCTAGAACTGAACGGATAGCTTTTCTGCATTTAGAAAATAGACAGCAGGTTGGCAACTGCGGCGCCTGTAGCCTCGACATTGGGCAACATTTTAAACTCGTCGCAAGGAAACTCTATTCATCTCGCTGAGTACCTGTAAGTGTGACTCGGTACATTTGCAAGTGTGCAATTTATTTTGAAACTTGCTTACATTTTGGTGTAAGTACCTGTAGTATGATCACTTCTGAAGCGTAACTTTCACTGCTGCGTTCCTCAAGACCAAAGAACAGAGTCCCAAGCTGCCGCGCGGTCTAACTTAACAATGGCTAGAGCGTAGCTAGGAACTGCGCTATAACCAACAGCACATTGTCTTTTCTTTAGCAAGAAATTGACGAATTTTCATCTGTGACTTGTTGGAAGCCAGTGAATTGCTTGGTTTTGTAACAAAATGCTTCTAGCAATCTAGTTTGTCTATGTCATTATAGGGAGTTCAACATGAACACTCGATAGACAAGGACATGAATAAAGACAAAGTATTAAAGTCACAATTGATAGTCAGCAGTGTGTTTGTTCATTGCCTCCATTTCTGTTTGTCTAGTGTTCAAACGGACCTCCCTGCAATGCTTCTGGCAATCAGCCTTGTAGTATATTGTAACGTTGTATCTTGGACAACTAATTCTAGCACTCCGTTTGGTAGGTCTGTGTGGCCCCATGTGTAAAATCTACTTAAAGGTTTCCAATAAGAGTGGATCCATCTTCCGAAGGAAGGCCTAAGTACCCCTGACTGGAATACAGAATTTATAATGGGTTAGCAAAAGCTAACCGATTATGGTTTACCCAGGTTTAACCATAGTTGCATCCCCAGTAATTGTCGTGCCTTTGGCACGACAATTAGTGAATTTTGAATAACGCACGTTGAGTCTATGCAGTGGGGCCTCTTTGTCGAAGGTCGCGCTCTCCCTGCAGCACCTTAACTGCTCTCGAGAAAGCAGGACAAGCTGTACATGTTTACGTGCTGCAATCAGTTTTGACCATTTAGATATATCAGCCGTGCCATCCAGATGCACTGAATTGTTGGTGCTTCATCTACTCTTTGTCCTAGAAAGTGCATGGGAGACTTGTACTAGTTTACAATGCCATATTTGAGAAGAATCCAATTTTTTAGGGTTCAGCATTCTATGTGTAATTCATATAATTCTAGTAGGTCTAGCTCCCTGGTAGCAGCCATGCTGATTGCTTATAGGTCCCAAACATAACTACTCTGCCAGTCATCGAGCACTGGAAATATCAACTCTTCATTCTTTTGGACATATAAATTTGTCCTCACCACCTCATTCAAGGTCTTATGGTACAAACATAGCCATAGTAGTAAGGACATAAAACAGTAGAGTAGTGTTCTAGCTTGTAGAACTGATTTCTCTTGACGGACTTGCAAGGATTTCTGCCAGTAACTCTGACTTGCCGTAGCTGCTGTCGCAAGGTCGGATGCCATTACTATCAACAGCATCAGTGCTCATTACTTCGATTTTCGTATCCTTCACATGTTCCTGTTTTCCATTATTGCTTTATAAACAAAGTAGGTGTACTCTTCTATTACAACCCATTTGAAAGTGTTAGGAGACAATGAAACGATTCGTCCAAGGAGTTTCTTATATTTGTAACGTGACGAGCCGGTCCACTTAGCTTGACACAACACTCGTTTTGCTTGAGTGATGCTCAATGTTTCCGGATTACCCGGTCAATGTTTGGTACTCTGCAAAGTTCTGTCGACACTCAAAAGTCTTGCTTTGGTTACACGGGTGGCACTGACAATCAGGTCGATTCTGAGAAATTTGCCGATTCATTGTCTTATTATATCTGCTGTCACTAATTTCTGTCGCATTATACATCTGTATACAAAGGATTTGTTCTTACGAAAACTACTTACGGGACACATTTTTGCTACCATTTTTGAGGGGCAATCTTTCCCAAACCTTATTTGTGACGTGAGTTGCGCAGCATTTGTGGATGAAGCTGGGAAATAGCAGGAGGGGATGGGAAGCCAGGGGTAAGATGCTGGGAAGAAGAAGAAAGTGCCGCCGTGGGTTGTGCAAGCTCTGCACCTCACAGGTGTTACATTTGTCATTCCGTCTGAGGTGAAAGGTTTAAGCCGCGCTCGCACTCCTTGTACATCATGTAAGAGACAGTCTACAAACATTGTCCGAGGCAAGTTTCTTCCTCACACAATGGTCACATTGGTCCTACCAAAAATGTCTTCAGACATGTTGCAAGCGTACACATACGTAAAGCAAGCATGTTTCGAACGTGACTGAATAGTATCCGCTTGTAATTCTGTCATGTCATGTCTGCATCAAATGCCGCGTCTTGCATGACGTGTGGGCAGTGTGAGCGTGGCTCCGAACATTCCCCGCAACCCCTGTGCTGCCACCCCTTGCCGTGGATCATGTTTACGTGGCAGAGTCTGTATATAAACCCCCGAGGTTTCTGTTTGTCCTACTGAGTCCTGCCAAGCATCTGGTGCCTCTTTCGTTGCACCAAAATGGAAGCATGCTGTTACAAGAGAAATGTGCTTGGTCTAGCTATGTTTTTCTAAGTTGTATGTATTGTACTATATGTAACTTTGACAGACTTTTTATTGTTTTAAAACGCTAGTTCTTTTTTTTTTGTGCTTGCAACTTGTAAGATTAGTTGAAATGGCTGAGCATTCTGGGTCAGACTGTCCTTTTGTGCAGAGGGGCATTGTTTTAGTCCCTTCAGTAGGGTAGGAACCTCAGAATGCGCACATTGGTACAATCAAATTGTGCAACTGGCATAAAATCCTGAACGGACGCCCACACACAGTGACGAGATTAGCGGTGAAAAATATAGGGTGGGCGATCTTTCAAAACAAGACTGCAAAATTTTACAGAAATATTTACAATACACGTGTGCACCTGTAACAAACTCGCACAATATTGAAACCGCCATCGCGGACGCAAGAAGCCAGCACTCTAGGGTGAAGTGATTTCATCGACCACGCAGAAAATATTTTTTGCTGCGTAATCACAATTTCTTCAGGGTTGGTCCATGCAGCAGCCGTCTCTCGCCTCAGCAATTTACATGCATTCCAACAATCGCTAACAATTTAAAAATAAAATAAAGAAACTGCAGCACGCGCACGAATGAGCCAATGCATTGAGCGGATTTGGTAGCAGTTTCCCACCATCTAGCTGACGGCGGCGGTGAAAGACACGCAGACTGCATGCCCTCAGTGACGTCGGCTAGGTGGCGCAGCCTGCCGCCCGATACAGTAGAGAGTCTAGATTAAAGAGATTGCTGATCTTAAACCAGACAGAGCATTCGCAGATTGATGGCCTGCTCCCGCTTCGTGGATTAGTCGCATACACGACGGCCGCGCATTGCCGCGTGGCGAGGAGGATAGCTGGTTGAGGGGCTGGCAAAAGCTCTGGGACGCTTGCAGACGACCCGTGCTTTTGCCTCCTCGCACCTCGAACGTGGCCCATGAGCCTCGATCAAACAGTTGGAAATACTCTGAAATCTAGACACTTTGAATACATGTGTGATATCTCAAGCAAGCTGCTGTTCCCTCACAAAAATGATCAGTGAGTTTCATTCGAGTTTCTAATGTATTCCTATAGAGTACATGAGAAACTCAATTGAAATTCTTTGATAATTTCTGTAAGGGTTGGCTTTTTTTTTTTTTTACCTCCATAGTTTTTGACTAGGCGGGAACTCAGCCTCCAGCACACGTCCGTTGCCTTTCGCGGTGTCTTGGCTGCGCTTGCACGCTCGAGAGACGTCCAAGCGTTATCCAGGATGGCGATCTCGCGCTGGAGGCGGGACAACATCTCCGTGCCGTTCTCATCCATCAGTAGCTATAATCTACCACCGCCGTGAGTGGTGGTAGAGAAGGCGATTGGTGGAATTAGCTGTGCCGAGTGTCTTTCACAATTTCCAACACTATTATCTAAATTTACTCTTCTTTTGAACATGGTGAACTGACATACCGTAAATTAAAAAAAATAACTCGCACGTACATTCAATCTCGCAGCTCTCTACAGGCAAAGGCACAATTGCGTGAGCCCAGCTCAGCAGAAGCCTTTGTTTGCACAAGAACTCGCGCGTAGAAGGCACTTTTCAAGAGAACGCGCCTGCGTCTTTGTCATCCCTACGGGTGCTTGTGAGATGGAGTGTAGCTGTTTCATTTACTGCGTTTTTCGCCACGTTGCGATTGCAATAAAATTGAGCGAGCTTCATCCCATCAGATGCAGGACCTTTTCCTTTAATTTATCCAGTTTAAAATTAGTACCTTGGCACTAACTTTTTTAAGTGGTAGCGTGGTGGCTGTTGAACATCCCACGAATTTGATGAGATGGGCAATGGTTGAGCAGTTTTCACCCCACGAATATTTAGCTAGAAAAATGAAGTGGCTGATCTTTTAGGGATGGCCGTTCGTTCAGGGTTTTATGATACTCCAGCGCACGTTTTGGACAGCAATATCGGAGATAAAGGTATAAAAATGGAAGTTCTGCTGATTTTGTTTTGTTTGCGCAAGCTTCCATGCAAGGAAGTAACTTTTTCGAATGCCGCACGCTTGTGCAAGTTTCCCTATATGCTATGCAGAACTTCCTTGGGATGAATAGGAAGACATTTCCTGTTTTTTTTTTTTGTTTCTTTTTTGTTTGGATTATGTAGATATGTGAGCTAAACTAAAAGTTTAAAAATGATGCCACTGCTTTTTCTTTGTGCAATATCGGTGCATATAGACCTATTTCACAAAGGTGATGGCATCTTAAAATATCACTTCCAGTATGGGCGAAAAATTGTTTTGCCATCACCACGCCAATAAAATACATTTAGGATATCAGCATAACCGTCAGCAATTTTCGTTTTGTCTCCCCTCTATTGTTTTACTGTTTGCAGGTTGAAATGTTTTATTATTATTTCGTCGCCGATATTGGGTATGCCTACCAGATGGCTGAGGACGAGGTATGCGAAAAAGGTCCATATGCTGAACTATCTTTGTTTAAAATTAGGCTTATTCCATTTAATTTGGTTGAATATGAATAAAGAACATGTTGACATGACTTTTGTCCTATTTTAATTTTTTTAGATTTTTCGTGGAGAACCTAAAACATGTGCATAAATTTTATGTTGAAACATTGTCTGCTTGGAAGAACAAGCCTCATGGGTTTTATTTTTCTTGCTATGTCAAATGTATATATTTCTCAGTGACACCCCATAAACTTGTTCTGTGTCCTATTCAGGTCAGTCATGTGAACCATTATTTGACATTTTTGTATGCAGTCCTGAAGGATACTCTAGATACTATAGCATTTAGCAGTTCATTTGAGAGGAAGGTGATTATAGTTTGTCTTGTGCTTGTTTTAATACCTGTCATAATTTGATGTTCTGATTATGCAACTTGCAGTATTAAGGTTCTACAACCATTGCATTGTTATTAAGAGGTAAAAACTGACATATTCAAATTTGTTTGCCCCTATTGTTTAACTTTTCTTTTTAATTTTCTTTTTTACAGTTAAGAATGCCTGCCCACTGTAATCAACCATTATAATCATGCGAGAATATACAGTTGCTTTTTCATGTTGGCCATCAGCCGTTAGCCCAATTTTGAAGAGTATTTTTGGAATTGACGAGTGTAATAGTTTGGTATTTGTTGAGTTGGTAGTTTAGATCAGAAGAGTTCCATGTGTGGTTCAGAAGTACATACCATACTCATGCCAAATGTACTAGTATGTGACTACTGCTGTGTTTTCTTCATAATAATCTGAAGAACCCTAACTTCATGCTTGAAGCATGAGTCAAACTACAAATTGTTTCTTTGAATCTTTCGAGTGGTTGCTGGAGATTGTGTTATGATCTTGTCACAGGTTGAGGTTTTGAGTTGTCGCATAAAATTACTTTGTAGGGCAAGAGTATCTTGAGACATCACTTGTATCATGTGAAACCAAGAGTCGGGACAGCCCCTCTGTAGCACGTAGACAGGAAGTAAAGGCAGTATTTTGTTTTGCAAGCTTAATTTTTCTTTATTCAAATTTGATTGTGACAAAAGGGTTTTTCTCAGAGTAATACAAAATGACAATGCATGATTGCTGTTTGACCTTCTGTCCATCCACAATACTGTTGTTCAGCATTCAGTGAATTATAATATATTTGTGTACCTTGATTAGCAAAAGAAACAGCAATAAAAAGTATAGCCTTGTTTGGTTCTGGATTAGTGTATTGATTTTTATGTCTCCACTCATCCTCGTATCGTGGAATCGAAGATTTCAGGCATTTCACAAATCAGATCTTTTTAGTTTTTTTTTTTAGAATTTATAGCTATTTATTTATAATCCTCCATTTTAGAAATAACTGGCACCACCTGTCAGAAAATGGGGTTCGAAGATTCTGAGGATCTAACAATGCACGTATTGTGAAGGAGAGGGAAGATGTGTCTTCAAACGCACTTGAGGGCAAAAAGATATTCCACAATAGGGGCAAAAGAGACTGGGGGAGTCTAATGACGGTCATTGCAGGGTGTGTTCAGATAAGAATTGTCAGAGTGGTGTCACGCCTATTTTTTGTTTTCAATTAAAAGTTTTCGTGAGGTAGATGAATATGTTCCCACAATGGTCAAAACCTTATTTTAGCAAGAACCTTCTTTTGTATTCAGGAGAAAAATTCGCACCTGAGGTGCGGTTAAAAACAGGACTTTCCCAATTATGTGTTGACATAATTTTGAATACACCTTAAATGAAAAATACAATTGTCTCCGTTACCACATTTTTTTTACGTCAAATGCACACAAACTTTACTACGATAATTAAATTTATTTTATTTTGTCATGTAATTAAAAAGAAACAAAGGCAAACTTGGATTTTTGAGCAACTCTTTCGTAATAAGACATTTTTTAGCGAATTTTAGAACACTTTAAAATGAAACCTTCAGCCTGAAATTTGTTTTAGAAAAAGATTAGCGTTCTACTACTGTAACTATAACCTCCATTGCGCCGAAAATGAAAAAAAAATTGAAAAAGTCAAAAGAGCATAAGTTTTGTGCTTCAATTAACAACAATCATAAAATTTTCAAAAAAATTGAAAAAGTAAAAAGCATAAGTTTTGTGCTTAGCTGTGCGAGCAGATAAATTTTATTAAAAAATGTTTTTTTGTGTGTTTACTTTGTTGAATGTTATATATCCTGTCTTAAAAAGGCGACAGGCGCTGTGTTCCAATCATACCTCGGCAAACCTCACTCATGAGGGCCCTCACTCACCTTCACTCACCCTCATCTTCACAGCTGAGGTGAGGGTGATTGCGTTTCTACATCAGGAAAATTCATGAGTGTGAGGGTGAGTGAGGGCCGTGGGAGGTCTGTGAGGACCGCGAGTGTGTAAGGAGTATGAGTGTGTGAGAGCCTTGAGGGCGGTGAGTGCGTGAGGTGCATGAGGGCCATGAGTGCGTGAGGGGCATGAGGGCAGTGAGTGCGTGAAGGCGGTGAGTGCGTGAGGGCCATGAGTGTGTGAGGGGTGTAAGTGCGTGAGGGGCGCGAGGGCGGCGAGGGGCGTGAGGGCCATGAGTGCGTGAGGGTCGTGAAGTTCAGTGAGGGTGAGTGAAGGGGCTGAAGGTGAGTGTGACTGTGAGGATGAAGGTGAGTGAGTGGCTGAAGGTGAGTGTAGCTGTGAGGGTGAGCGTGAGTGAAAGGCTTAGGTGAGTGGCTGTGAGGGTGACCTAAAATGCCGACCTCTGGTTTCAATAATAGAGATGGGCTTTATATAGCAATGTAGCATTATTTCATTTTCAAATAATATGCCAACATATGCCGGACCCTGCTCCAAAAGGGCCACTACCTGCTCCAAAACAACATTTTGCCTGCTACAAGGCCTGCCCCGAAAGGTCAAATGGCACTTCCATCACTGAAATATTACATGTAGGCTCTAAGATAGGCGCAAAAACATTTGAACAACCTTTAGCAATAAATTTAGGCACATAATCAGTATCGGCTGTCAGTTTCGTCTTTTCGCAAACCGTAACTTTAGTTACCGCGCAAACATCAGAGCAGACAGGATAGCCAATAAATAATGCACTATCTTTAGGCACTTCCGAAGAAAAACACCTATTGAAGTAACTTGCAAAAAAGTTAGCGATATCTTTCCGGTTAGACAGATAATCAGAATTAAGCGCGAGACACATGCACGACGAAACCTTCCGATCCGACGTGCGGACTGCCGGAATGACCTTGGGGGGAGAGGGTTTTCGTAGCATCGGAGAGCGTTGAAAACCCTCGCCTCCGACCGTCGTATTGCGCGGTCGGACGTCGGATCGGACGGTTTCGTCGTACATGTGTTTCGCGCTTTAGGCAGATACCGCGCGCACTATCTCTAGTATGTTGTCTAGCAAATTTCCAGAACTTATATGGTGTGTGGAAAAGACTATTTTCTACTATGCTTAAATGCGCACACTTTCTTTTTAATAAGAGACCGATAAATGCTGAACTTAGCATACCACCTTTGCGATCCATTTCATTTCTACAATTTGTGACAATGCGTTTTTTTTTCTTTATATAGTATATTACATCATTGAAGTCTCACAAACGGTATTTTCTAGGCTTTGATATTCCTTTTGGAATAAATTTGTCAATTCTATTTCTCACTACCGTAATAAACGACCTCGCCACTGAGTTGACAGAAACATACTCTAAAATGGAGGACCGGTCGTAGTCTTCAAAAAACCTATAAAGGCCTATATAATCGCCGGTGTTGAAAGATCAATACGTATGCTTTGGGCGAGCTGCAGATTTCAACTTATGAAAAGCAACAATAAATTGGCGGTGATAAGCGTCAACCTTTACAAGTGAAACATCTGCAAGCGTGAGGCCGATGATCGGCACATTTGGAAGAAAAATATCAATGATGTGTTACCAAACTTGTTTAATTGACTAAGACCATTGACCAAGAGGTGAGATGATTTGCTTGCTGTTAAAGTATTTTGACTATTAACAAATCCAGACTGCCAATCAGCACCAGGTAAGTTAAAATCACCATAAATATGCACCCTGAACTTTGAAAAGTCAGTGTTTTTCCAGTGTATCAAAGTGATCATTAAAAAGAAGATAATCCAAAAGAGAAGGTAGTTGCAACCATCATTCGAAAGCAGTTCTATCCAAACGCATGCTGAATGGGTTTCAAGATCACGACTTTGATGGGAGGCAACTGACTGATTGACGGCGATTAATACACCGCCTCTGAATTTCTAGCGGGTTAGAGCGTTGTCATGGTCGCGACGGTAAACTGTATAAGAAGAAGGAAAAGTGTATGCACCTGAAATGTCCTCATTAAGCCAGGTTTCAGTCAAACAAATGATATTAAAATTGCAAGAGTCTACATTTGTCAAAATGTGTCCGCTTTTGTTCGTAAACCACGAGTGTTTTGGTAGTACGCGTGAAGTGTCTCAATCATTCATATGGCAATGATTATTTTCAGTTGTGCTCGTACCATAACCCTCAAACTAAAAAAAAAAAAAAGGAAAAAGCAAAAAAAAACAAAAAAAAAAACGGGGCATATGTAGCGGGGCGAGGCAGACACGCATATATTTCCATATTTTTTTCTGAGAACACAAGTGGTTTTTACATTATTTTACAATAGGGAAGAAATGTTGCCAACCGAAGCGCAGAGAGTCTCCCGCACACACGTTTATGTAAACAAAACGTTTAGCAGATGCACCTGCAGAAAAAAGGTCAGCATTGTAATTTGTGGAAGCTAAATGTTTTATAGTATGTTTATTTCGATAACATTATGTCTTAAACAAGTAAACATTTTCTGATTTGTTTTTCCGCTCGCTTAGTACCGGTCACGCAACTTCGCACTTTCTCACGAAAACGGGTCATGAAACTTCATTGAGACAACTGAGGAGACGGCAGAAATGCACCTTTAAAACAGCTACGTCGCGGCCGGTCTGGTCACCCTCAATAGACGGCAAAAATTAAAACCCTCCATTTTCTTCACAACCAGATTGTAGGTGTCCTCCACTTCTAGGAGGCACACGGCACTGAAGCAGTGTTGGCGGTAACGCGTTACAAGTAACGGCGGGTACCGGCAACGTACAGTAACGTACTTGTTACATTTTCAAACCAGTTACGCGTAACGTACTTACGTTACTTAATTCAGGTAACGGGGAACGAAGTTTCGTTACTCGCTACATCTTTTTTCCCCAAATCCGAAAAAAGGTATGCTTACATTTTTTTTTTCTTGTTTTTAAACTTGGTTTGAACCTCATTTCAGACGCAGCCGATCCTACGAGCTGATGAACCAATCAGGCAGCATCAAAAGGACACCGTGTCCCTCATGTTTTTGTACATGCTCTTTAATCGCTAAAAAAAATCATTAAAAAAAAAAGGCCTAGGGACTAACGTGCTTGATTGGTCCCCTTACCTCGTAGCGTCGGCTGCATCTGGATTTAAGCTGAAACCAAGTGTCGGCACCAAATCAGTAATCATTGCACTCATTCCACATACCTCCAAAAGTTTGCCTGTTTTTTCCCCACGCAAAAAGCCCTACTGTAGAAAAAACCTAACGCCCACTACCTTCCTCGCAATATATATATATATATATATATATATATAAAAAAACCGCTGTTGCAAAATAACAAAAATATAAAAAAACGCTGTTTTGTAATTTACAAATAAAAAGTAACGTGCGTTATTTTTTTTTATCGGTAACGGTAGCGGTAACACGTTATTTTCCTTTTGAGGTAACGTAGGTTGGCAACGCGTTTCATCATTTTGCCAGTAACGAAAATATATTTCGCTTCTTTTTTTCTAACGCCTACAACACTGCACTGAAGTGAGGAATCCCGCATCCAAGAAAGGCGAGCGGTGTGGCATTTTCCCTGCCCGGAGGCCTATGGCTGGTGCTGTAATCGCGCATGGTCACAACAGCCGCTTTGTCGCGTCTCGCGGCGCCAGGAACGAGATCTTGTTTAACTGCAACATTTTTAGTGTTGGTTGCTTTCATGGAGGTGGAAAGCTCTGGAGCCGACATGACGCCACCAGAGGCGAAGCCGGGGAAGGCTTTCGGTTTGGAGCATAGAGATCATGTCTGGAGGGACACGTACACCCTTAACCCTAACCAAAAACCCTATTGGACAAACTGACTTGGCGTCAACAGCTGCTTCGGTCACCCTTGGGGGTGTTCTTACCGATCGCGACCTCTACTTCCGGCTTCACTTGAGATT